ATATCAAACCATCAAATTTTTTCCCTAATTTAAAATGTCAGGTCTGAAGAGGTTAAAGAGTTGTAGTGCTAGACGCACACAATTTTTTCCAAAACCTGGGATAATACCTCGAATAAATGCCTTAAAAATAAAAGAGCATTAAACCCGTACATTTGCACTTTGTACGGCCAATGCATCTAAAAATTAAAAAAAAAAAATGCAGATTAAAAATATAGATGCGCTTTACACACTGAATTTTGTGGAATACCATAGCCTTCTTTACCCGTTGATTAAAAAATATTTTATATGAAATTTCTCATCTAAAACAATATTAAAAATCAGTCTTATAATCCTTAAAACTTTTGATCCTGAAAATGAATAATTTGCAGCCCAGCCAGTATGGTGGATATGACTCTTGGCTTGTAACCTAGTGGGCTTAGGTTCGAATCTCGTATAAGGCATGGTTATAGCTTCTTCGAGAAATTGTATTTGAGAACTGAATTTGTATTGTATGGTTCTCTCTGTTCTTCAATTCGTATTTCGTATGTATCACAGGATAAAAACTCTCGACAACAACGATGTTTAATTTCCAATAATTAAAATTTAGACTATAAACGGAATCAATGAAAACCACAAGGTGGAATAGTTTTAGAGAATCATACATCCTATGCTAAAATTCATTATTTTTTGTTAAAATTATTCCTAAAACTCAGTTATATATTTTAAATAGTCTGTTAATAATTTAGCCAAGAAGAAATATTTAAATACATTAATTAGAAAAAGAAAAAGATTAATAAAAAATAAAGTCTTCAGTTATTTTAAGAAAAGGGAAAAAAAACTTCCCTTAAGCGAAAAAGTATTTTGAAAATGTTTTTGGTGGCTAAGCGATTAAAGCGTAATGTGTGCAGGAAAGAATATTTTAACTAATATTAACCTTTGTGCACATTAAACCATTGTTCATTGAAAAATGAAAACTATATAACACAAAAACCGGAAAGTAAGTAAAATAAAAATTTAAACTAAATTTAACATTCTTTTTTCTTGCTATTCAATTGACTGTCGTTAACTTTTACTTTGCTTTTTCTAACTAGCATCTTGCTTTTTTGGCTTCATTCTTACTTTTATGACTGTCATTATGGTTAAAATGCTGCATAGTTTAGTAAAATAGTAAATGATGAGAAAAGAACCGTACTTTAATGAGTTTTTAATGAATTTGAACACTGTGAATGAGATTTTACTAACAGTAGATTGAGTAATTTTTCTATTTATTTCATTTTTCTCGTATGCTGGTTCCAAAACATAGTGTGAGGAAAGCCATTAGCCATTTGAGGGTACGCGTGTAATTGCCTTGAAAATTGACGGAAAAGTTTCCTAAAATTATATTTAACAACCATTGTTATCTCATTATTTTTAGTCAGTTTAAAAATGTTACTGAAAACGCAACTTTGCGTTTGCAAATGCTTGGAATTTCTTTTAATGAAAATAAAAATATATTGAATCTATATCTATAATGTTACTTAAAAAAATTGTTAACTATTCACAAAATTATCCACCAATAAGAAAACGAATCGAGTGGAAAATCATTTAATTTTTCAGTTTTTAATGAGTTCTATTCGGGCTTCTACTAATCTTCTTGGGAAAAATATTCTGTAACTGTGATCTTAGTTTAAAAACCGCTTTCCTTAGACATTAATTGATTTATTTTAAGCAAATGTAAGTACTATTTAATTGCCTATCATTGAGTATGCGGGTTAAAGGTAAAGTGTCGATCGCAAAACCGAATTACAAGTGATAGTAAACGTAAACAGTGACTGTTGGTCGCGCATCTTAAGATTAATTTTCGACAAAGAATCCTTCTGAAAATGGCTAGGTAATCAACCCCGGAACTGACCGAGATATCTGGCTTCAATAAGGACCATACAGGGAGCTTTCACTCCAGAGAAGTACTTTCCTAATTTAGTTATCCGATTACGGGTTAGGATTTCGTAGGAATCCCAGAGTTAGAAGTTATAAAAGTGCATTTTCATAAAGTGCTAAAGATTAAATAAAATTAGCTAATTTATGATCATAAGTGCTTCTTCCTCAAACCCATTCAAGCCTACTACCTTCGGGCTGCTACAAATTTATCACACCAAAAGTTATACGTTTATGAAAATATAGAACGAAAGAAAATTAAGTTATGTGAAGTTTCATATTTGCAAATGTCTCTTAAAATTTTGAAATAATGAAGAAAACGCGTAGTATAAATAACATTATGTACATATTTTAAATAGAGTAATTACGGTTGGATTAAGTTAAATATACAATTCTTGTAACAAGACAATTATTTACAAGGAGGGCTAAAGGCAAGTAAAAATCAGTGAAAACATTGTCAAAAAGGACGCATTGAATTCATTCTAACAGTTCATCTCGTCGTTCTTGTATCACGTTTCCTCAAACTGCCTTGTCAACTTTATGGCGTTCTCCTGTCTATTACGTCAGCGTGGAATATAGGGAGTACAATGCACAAATATCTGTTCCTGTATCGACATATGCTCATATGTGACATTTTCGCTTACATTAGATTTACTTTTTAATTCAAGTATTTAATAAACAACGAAATTCACATAAATTTTTTCGAATTGTTCCTTCTTTTACGAGGATAACTGTAAAGTTTTTGATACATGCACATATGAAGTTACAAAATAAATAAATAGATACATTTTTATTATTTTTTAAGTAACAGTTTAATTTAAAAATAAAGAGTATTTTAACACAGCAGACGATTTTTTACTGACTTACTTCAAGTTATTTAGCGTAAGATTAGCTTTCAAGTTATTTTAAACAGAAGAGAAAATCGACTTGTGAGAATATTATCGAGTTATGAATTTCTATAACTTTAAAGCACGATTAAATCAAGATGAATGCAATCACAGACTGCAATTAAGATTTGGTGACGAATCTGTATGGCCTACTACTGTATTCAGATGGTTTGAAGAATTTTGCAGAGGTCGCAATTTTCATCAGTGTGAGGAACGCACAGAAAGGACCATGGAGGGAAGTAAACCCGGATAATGTGTCTGCTGTACGAAAAATGTTAATGGACGATAATCTCTAAGCCTGCCATATGATACAGAAGAAGCTTAACATTGAATCCACAGCTATACATAAAAATTATTCAAGAAAAATAATGTATGAAAGAAGTAGTTTGCTTTGGGTTCCCCATAATCTAATTCAGCACCAAAAACAAGAATGTGTCAGAATCAGTAAAGAAACCCTTAAATTACAAAAGGATGGTGGCCATCGCATCATTTCTAAAATTGTAAAGGACGATGAAATGTACATACCATTGTTTGACGTTCCAACACGTCAAGAAAGCAAAGTATGGGTCTTTGAAGATGATCCCTTGCCGACAATGGTGAAAAGACAATAACCAATGAAAAAAGTAATGTATGCCATTTTCTTCAGAAGTACGGGATTGATCAAAGCCATCAAGTTGGAAGGACAGAAGACCGTAAAAGCAAAATGGTATACCACTAAATGTCTTCCAGAAATTTTCCAAGAAGTTAATGGTAGGGGACTAATGCATCACCATGACAATGCATCTTCCTCATACAGCCGGATTAATAGTTGACTTTCTTAATCAAAAACAAATTAAAGGGATAGAAGATGAACCTTATTCTACGGATCTACCTATGTGTGGCTTTCTTTCCGTTATATTTAAATCTAAAAAATAACGTACTTCGACGTTCTTTTCTTTCAGAAGAAGAGATGCGAATATTGACGTGGCTATAAATGCATTTATTTCATCAACTCCTAGAAATAATTGATTTGAGGCATTACATCTTTGGAAATTTCGTTTACAAAAAGTCATTGATGCTGGAGGAGACTACTTTGTACACTCCTGAAGTTTTGTAATTATAACTTTAAAAACATGGATGTATTTTTCAAAAAATTCAGAATGACCCTCGTATAATGATGTTAAATCCGAATTCTTTTAAAAAATGTTTTCTCTATAGATTTTAAATTATTTTATAAAAGGAAAAAAAGAAAATAATTTACAGTTTCTATCATCCGATAAGCACGAATTTTCATAAGTGTAACAAAAACAAAACAAAAATATTGTGAGTACAATTTTAAATCTGTCAGAATGAAGCTATGCTAACAATTTAATAAGGATAATACAACTCATAACATACGAAAAAAATGAAATGGAAATGTTTTTTTAAATTATAAACTTCAAACACTTTTTTTAAATTTTTGTTTAATGCTTATTGTTATCAGTTTCTTCTAAAATCAGAAGGATCACTCCTTGTTGTATAAAATCGATACATGGCCATTTAATTTACAAAACACATAAATCGCCACAATGCAAAAGTAAAGCAAAAACACTTGATAAAAAAATTTTACTACTTTCTTACATTCATATTAAGGAATTTCAATTTCATAATGATAAATTCAATTTTTATAGAAATATATATAAGGTTCATTCAAATGGAACAAAGTCAGTATGTCTAACTTTGCCATTAACATAAGGTGGCGCCACGTCACTGCGTGTGAGAGTGGCACCATCTATCGGTAGTGACACTGACGCATGCGCAACGTTTGACGTTCCATAGTGACAGTATGGTTTCACGGGGAAGAGAAGATGGTCACACACGTTATCGTCCACTGATGAACATGCAGGCGAGTAAGAAAGAACAAAAAAAAAGTGTGTGTGTACTTATGTAGGCACGTAAGAAGTTCTACTTCCTTGGCGTAACAAGATTAAAATCTTTCTAAAAATCTTTTGCAGGACAAGCTGGGCCCAGGACGAAAGGCGGTCACGAGCAGAGTTGAGCGACACTAACATTCAGTCAATCGGACCAGCCAAACCTGAGATAATCGATTTAAATAAATTTAAACACCCCCGCTCAGAGACAATAGGACCAATAATATGGGGAGGGAGTCGAAGGTGGGAATGATCTGTCCCGTTTTACATATTTCTAGACAAACCATTTTCATATACGTTCCTACGAAACACAAAGCAAAGATTTGCTGACGAGGGTGTATAGCTCAGTGGTAGAGCATTCGACTGCAGATCGAGTGGTCCCCGGTTAAAACCCGGGAGTCTTTTTCTTCAGAGAAATGAAGAGAAAATTTTCTTTGAGGATTTTGAAGGCGGGGATGATCTGTCCCATTCTGCATATTTCTAGATAAAGCATCTTCGTATCCGTTCCTACGGAACGCAAAGCAAAAGGCTCTCTGACACGGGGTGTATAGCTCTGTGGTACAGCATTCGACTGCATATCGGGAGGTCCCTGGTTCAAACTCGGGTGCCTCCATTTTCAGGGAAGTGAACAGAAGCAATTTTTTTTGAGAATTTAGAAGGCGGCAATGATCTGTCCCGTTCTGTATATTTCTAGACTAAGCATTTTCGTATACGTTTCTACGGAACACAAAGCAAAATTTCGCTGACGCGAGTGTAAAGCTCAGTGGTAGAGCATTTGGCTGCAGATCGATAGGTCTCCTGGTTCAAACCCGTGTGTCCCCTTATTTAGGGAAGTGAAGAGAAATATTTTTCTGAGAATTTCGAAGACGGGAATGATTTGTTCCGTTCTGTATATTTCTAGACAAAGGTTTTTGCATCCATGACGATGTGCGCGCGCATTGTAAAAATTTACCCTCTACCTATTTCTCTAACGCCCCAAAAGAAGTATAACTTCAAAAGGCGTGATTCGATTTTTTTCCGACGGAGGGAGTTGGAGGCCGTGAAATGCATCGACTAATGAAAGCTGTGTACGGTGAGTCAGTCTGTGTCGTTCAAGTGTTGTGGAATAGCGCAAACGATTTCGTGAGAGGCGCGAGTTACTGAAGACAATTCTCGACCTGGACAGGCTCATCGTATCATCACACCGGAAATGATAGCGGAACTGAATGTTTTAGTCTTGGACAGCCGCAGAATCACTGTGGACCAGATCCATCGGTTACTGGGTATTAGCGTGGGCACCACTCACACCATAATGCATCAACACTTGAACTTTCGAAAAATTTGTGCGCACTGGGTTCCCTATCAACTGACCGCCGAACAGCGCAATATTCGAATGGCGCTGTTCTTTGAGTCATCTGCAACCTTATCATGAGGTGGAATACGGCCTTCTGTTGCAAATTGTCACTGGTGACGAAACATGGAAGATCCAAGCTTTGATCCGACAGCAACCTACTAGCTTCTTCAAAGGTAGAATCGACCGGCTAGTGCTGCAATGGGATAAATGTGTCAACAGTTTTGGCTACTATTTTGAGTTGTGTACTGTGTATAACTACATTTTTGAGTTAATAAAATCGTTACCGAAACTTTCCAGTAGTGGCCGAGTTTCCTTTGAATGCCCGTTACATGAAGGAAAAGAGCTAAATCATATAACGATGGGGGCCTAATTATTAAAAGTGACATTTGAAAAAAAAATTGAAATACAGTCGAACCTCTATATAACGAACCTCTATATCGCGAAATTTTTCCTGGAACCTTGAACATTTCAAGATTTTCTTCGTAAAACAATCTCTCTATAGCATTTTATATACAACGATTTTTTTATTTTGTGATTCAATTTTTGTTCTCCCTTTTTTTCAAAGTATTTCTGAAAAAAATTTCAAGTTATTCTCTCTTTAACACATTTTATGGTGATCATAAATCTTGAACTGGTTTTATTAGATTTCAACTCGCCGAGAGTAATAGAGCTCTGGACGTTTCATCTAAGAAGTTCAACCCTTAATCCTCATTGTCCAGTTCACTAGAAACATTTTCGATATCCTCTTTCACACCCAGTGGATTTTTCCCCGTGTTCTAATTATAAAATAATGTATGTTTAATATTACACTTGTATGCTTTAAATTATAAAATGTCTTTAAAACTCATTAATTTTTGTATACAATTATTTTCTTAAAATTGGAAATACAGTTAATTCTTTGACATTCTTTTTTCCTGTTTTCCTTGCAGTTTTTCTTTCTTTCTTTCTTTTTTGATGAGTTAGATGTATAAAATAAACATATATTAATTTTAAAAAGGTGTGAATAATTCCTTTTTTTAGTATATAGTGTTTATGAATTTAAAATTTGGTTTATGGGGTTTATAAAGTATATTAAAAGATGAAACTCTATATAACGAATTTTCCATATAACGAATTTTTATCCGGGAATTAGCGACTTCGTTATATAGAGATCCGACTGCATTTGAAATTTATACAGGAAAAGCCTGACTCAAAAGTATAAGTTTAAGTAAAAGAAAACAATTTCGTTTGAATGATTAAAATAATATCTTGCTCAGATTGTGAAGATTTGAGTAAATTGTTTCGGCTTCGTTGAAAGAAATATAATATAAAAAGCACATAGGGAGGACATTTGCAACTCAGTTAATGTGCGTCATCTAATTGCTTGCAATAAATCCACGGTTTAAAATAATTTAAAAGACGACTATTTCATATATAATTGTGCAATTTATATTAAAAAAAATTACTGCATACTTTATCCATAGAGATCATGTGCGTAATAGAGATGTTAGGTAAAGATAAATTTTAAAAATATGTAATATAAATTCAATTATAATAAATTTCGAACCTTTTTTCATTGAAATTCATACTGTCCGTACGTTCAAAACAGGAGAAAAAATAGTTAATATCTTTTAATTCATAATAGCTACTAAATTTGAAAAACTAATTAGGTAATGTGGCTTAACAATGATGATAGATAACCTACAATAAGCTTATTTGTAAGTAACAAACCTTCTCGTAGAAGGAAGATACTTTTGAAATATATATTGCCCACGAAATGAAAAAAACAACATAATAAATATTTTCAGATATATAATCTCTTTAAAAATAAGCAAGTAATATAAAATAAAAAAAATTAAGTCAATTCCTACTCAGGTCAACAAAGAAAAATTTTATTTTAGTTACTTTTTATTAAGTAGTTACAATTAATAAAAATATGTATATACATATGACATAATTACACTATTGAGTGGCAAAATATAAAATGCGATTTTCCTTTCTATATATGGTGATGGAAAATTATTTTTGTTTGTTACTATTTATTTCTTCATGAATCACATTTTCAGAAATTAGGCCATCCCAGGTAGTATTCGAATCCACGACCTTTGAATTATAATTTCAATGCGCTATCCATTGCTGTACGAGAACACAATGTGCGATTTTCCTTTCTATATATGCTGTTGGACTATTATTTTTGTTGGTTACTATTTATTCATGTTTTAATTAAATTATTGAACTAATATTTGAAAAAAACTGAATTAACATCAAGGGTCATCCACGACAAGTTTAAAAAAATGTATTTGAACTTGAATGGATGAATAGAAAATATTTTAATAACGATTGAAAATTTGAACAAGATATATATATATATATCTGGCAATCTCTTATTTATTGCACTCAGATTTAGCGCGGGCTATGCATTTTTAAGTGTAATTTTTAGGTAAGTTATCTCTATCTTGCAATGGATTTAGATATTCCTATCCATTACTTTCAATAGGATTTTGCTCAGTATTATTTACATAAAGGGGAGGAAAATTATTTTATATATTAGTTGTCGTAAGTCAGCAATGTTTATAATACTGCAGCATCCATTCTATAATTTTAATCTCGGGTACTCATATGTCCTTCATTGTGTGATTTTCCTACAGTCTATGAGTTTTTCGAATGTGATTGTTGGATGTTATGTCTTTTGTAGAGAATAAGCCTATATATATATATATATATATATATATATATATAAC